AAAATTGTGAAATGTTCTAAGTTCTTTATATGATTTTCATAATTTCGTGAAATATTACAAATTATGAAATTAACGAATTTTATAATATAATTGTAATAATATATTATAATTTATAATAATTTAAAAATTAAAAAATTGTAAAATTAAAAAATTATAGAATTAAAAATCACAAAATTTTTGTTGAAAATGATAATAATATATATATATATATAATTAAAAAATTAGCTAAAGCTTTGTGAATATGTGAGTTTATTATATAATATTTGTAATTACTTTGAAAAAATTTAATAATATAATCAAAAAATTGATATAAATATAAAAAATTTACTGACAAAAAATTTTTTTATTTTTTTACTTATTAATATATTTTTTATTTATTATGCACTTTTTCATTATTATAACAAAATTTTTTTTTGTATTTTATTTAAAAATATATAATAATATATTAAAAAACATATTTTTTTTAAGAACTAAAAACTTGCTATAAAGATAAACTCTTTTATTTTATATAATTAAAAATATTTACTTCTCTTTAATATTAATTGATTATTTGAAATTTCAATACATAAATTTAATAATAAATAATAATATCTAATCTTGAATATATGAACTAAATTTAATTATAGAATTCTTATTAATTACAACTTATAAAAAATTTTTATACATTACTTTATTAAATATAATCAATTAAGTATACAGGAAAAAAGATCTCTAATAAAAATATAGAAAAATGAAAATTCAGCCAGCAAATCTGTGTTAAAGTATTCTGATTTATTGCTAAAAAAAATTGTGAGTTGAATGATATAAAAACTTGTCTGATCATATATATTCATTGAAGAAAAACAAAAAATTGAAATAATCAAAAACTATTTGAATTTAATTGAAAATGAAACAATCAAAAACTACTCATTATCATTATTGTTAGTGTTATTAATAAATATGTATCAGAGAAATTGGATCTTAGTTCAATTTCAAGCTTAAAATCAATAAAGTGATTTTTTTCTAAAAAAAATATGAAGTCAAATGTTATCAAACTTTTCAACAATCTCAAGGTTTTGTTTTTGTGCATCATGATCAACTAAAAAAAACTTCAGCCTTATCGTTATAATTAATTGATGCTAATTAATTTCACATATAAAATAAATAAATATGATTAGTATTATTATAAATGAGAATTTGTATGTAGTTTAATATTAATTTCATATAAATAATCATGTCAAAATAGCTAAACTCAATTATAACATGGATGAATAATCTTTTGAATAATAATATATATTACTAAAAGATATTGTGAATCCTCTTAGTATAAATCATATTCTTAGTGATATAAAAATAACGAAGACATACCAATACTTTCAAATATCGAAGAATACGCTAATTTAGTGCCATAACTCGCAATAAATTATCATTCAATTTATAAATATCACAAACGATATTATGAAGCTGACTTGTCTAACGGAAATGATTGTCTAAGACAAAATTACTGATGGAGATTATAAATCCTTTGAAGGAATCCCTTTTGAAAGGTTTACCATGTCTGAATATGCTGCAAGAAAGTTTTAGAACTATTTATAAAGCAATCTGTGATCATAAAGAAAATAAATTTGAACGAAATTAAGAAGTCAAAGATGTTGTGTTGAAACACTACATGATTCAAAGCAAATTACAGTATAATTTATAGACGAGATAAATAATCGAATTTGGTACCGGTGCAAAAAATAAACTATTGAAAGAAGTGAGTCGAAACATTTTATATAAATCACTATCTGTTGTATTGTAATAAACTCTTTTCCAGCCATCAGAAAAGCAAACTTCGATTTTTCAACTCGTTTATGAGATAGAAAAATAGTTTAGTTCTTCCTAAACTATCTATTGTATTTTTATGACTCCGCAGAAAGTTTTGATGAAGTTGTCTCTGCAACGACTTGTAAAATCAAGGTATCTACGTACGTATATTTAAATTCGATTTAACATTAATACCAGGAACTGCTACATGTACGTACATGTATAAGGATCGAATTAGTACCAGTGCAAAAAATAAACTATTGAAAAAAGAGATATATAGTCAAAAAAAATACTAAACAGCATGCACACTCTTATTCAGTCCCAATCTTATAAGACCTTTAAATATACTACTCTCGATAAATGCAATCTTAAATGCATGCCATGTCTGATCAGTAATTTGGTTCGACGAATTGCATTTAAAGAGCTGACTACGTACGTATATCGGTATCGATCGATATCCATTTAGAGGAGAGGAGTGCAAACAGCAGTTATCTTTACGTATTTAGTAACTGGTACGACATTTTTACCTTCCGCTTCAGTATAAAAAATGCTTAAGATAGAAATCTGAATGTTATATCGATATCGATATACATGTACATGTACATGACGTACGTATACGTAAATATCAACTACGTATCGCTATCGTGATTATTTTTTTCTAATATCGATATATGAAAATGATATTCCGACTATTACCCACAGAAATTCGTCAACAAATTTTCAAGAATCTAAACAGAGGCTCTTTATTTAACTGTCTATTCGTCAATCGACAATTTTGTCAAGAAATTGTGCCGATTCTTTGGGAAGCACCTTTCATGTCTTGTAGTTCTAATTCTAAGTATAAAATTGCAGAAGTTTATATTGGAAGTTTCTCAAAAGAAATATGGAAGTATCTGCATTCCAACAAAATTAGTCGACCAAGATCTGTACAACAACCAACGTTTAATTATGCCTCATTTTTACGCCATTATGAACCAACACTTATAAATGACGCAGCAAGTGCATGGTTCTCGCATCGTATGACTAACGAAGAGCGGAGCAAACGCAAAGCATGGGCAGTTTCCTTGTCCAGACTTTTAATAACTGAATCAACATCTTTGCATTCTTTATATCTTGATTTTGAACGGGAATTCTGGAGTCTAATCCCTAAAGAATGCTCAGTTCAAAAGTTATTTGGAAACCTCAAGGAAATAAAAATTTACAGTTTTTCATTAGAAAAAAGTCACCAAACGTTCTTTGAAAATCTGGCCAATACCTGCCATTCGATTCAAAAAATCACATTTAGAGGAGGTCATAACGATAATAACAAATCCACAATTGCAGATAAAAGTACAACTAAAGCATTTCAACGCATGATGAAAGCACAAAGTGAATTAAAATGGATCCGACTACGTTCTTTCTTGAACATTACCAAATTTATTTGTAAAACTCTTTATTATTCATCAAAAAGCTTACGAGCTATTGAATTTTTTAGAGTCAACTTTGATTGTTTCCGTGCCGATAACACAATCCCAGGATTGAGCTCGTGCGTTAATCTGATTTGTTTAAGTTTTCAGGACAGCGTAGCGTTAGAACAGCCATGTTGGTTTGAAACGGCCAAGTTTTTTCAAAAATTAGAATATTTTTCAATTCTATTTCCAGATTATCAGGAACTACCAGTTAATCTGTTAAAAGAAATCCTTGAAGCTAATAGCAATACTCTTCAATATCTTCGTCTGAAAAGCAGCGATCGTTATTTCCAAGATAATAGTTATTGCATTGACAGTATATTTTCTTTAATTATTCTTAATTCTCGCAATCTTCGGGCAATCAGTCTGTTCAATTTTAGTGTAAATAATCTATCCGTTTTAATGAAATCATGTCGAAATCTTTATCATCTGGACATATATACTGAAAAGTTGGATAAGTTATTTTTTGATGTTCTGGAACGAGAGCTTCAGCCTACGATTAAATCACTTGGACTAAATCTTATAATAACTCAAAGATCACTAATGTGCGATGTGTCATTTATTCACTTTCTGAAGGCTGCTCATCACAACTTAGAATATATTTTTCATAACTTGCCTTCTGATGGATATTTTAAGAATTTGATCAATAGCAATGGTATCAAATCAGAGGATTTACTGCTGCTAGATGATAGCGATAGTAAGTTGTTTATTTTCTTATTTTTTTTTTTATTTTACATTTAATCTAATTTATCTTTCATCATCTTATTATTGATAGAAATATATCCGAATTATTTTATGTAAGATATTAACGGAGTTGTTAAGACATTTACGTAGATTGCATGTACATGTATATCGATATTGATAAGGATAAAGTGAAACAAACATTCCCTTGATAAATTGTATAATCCATTTTATTTTTATCTGAAAGATTCAATTCTTTTGTCATACATTAAATATTTATTATGTCTCATTTTTAGATTTACATGTTTTTAAATTTTTTACATACAACAATAAGTGTATTTAAGTTTATCTTCTATAAGAAATTTATTAAAGCAATGTTCTAAATTTTTCGATTAGAGTTGGTTTCAAATACAAATTTCAGATTAACCCTGGATTAGTGTATTATAACTTTTTTTTATTATAACGACTGGTTTGATACCTCAAGTAAAATTGTCCGGAATATGAATTTACACATTTTGTAAAAAATCATGGAATTTTAATTTTATAGTTTCAATTCGAAACTGAACTGAATGTTTAGTTAATGATCAGTATTATTATGCAGTACTGCCATATCACCATATAACACAAAAAAGTGTGATTTAAAAGTTTGTGATTATATAAAAATCAAATTTCCTATGTTTTATAATTTCTGGAACTAGAAGACATAATTATGTAGAGTTTATTTAAGGTACATAACCGAAACTAGTTTAATGCTGAATAAAATTATATTTTTTATATATAATAAATCAGCCTACGTATCAGTACAGTGTTAAAAACATCTTCTGTTCAATATATTACTGTCATTTCATTAATTGAAATCATTTTACATTTTGTAAATGTATAAATGAAAAGAACGATGATGAAAGTGGTTACGTATTTGATATTTTGAAAGATCTTCAATTTAACAAACAATACTCGTTTTTTAAAAGAAATCAATCAAAATCTTAACGTTGCTATTGTAGTTCTTGAGACACTAAAACTATTAATTCCTCATTTCCTTAACGTCTCGCTATCATTCATACCAATATTTATTTTTTGTAATAAAAAATGGCATCTAATAACCTTCAGAATATCCAGAAGGGGACTCGTTCATCATATGCTTCTATTGTGGTAAAACATAATTATTTTTTTTCTATGTAACTTTTATTAATATATTCTATGAAACTCTGATTTTATTTTCTAAGACGAATAACCTCCCAAAACTTGACAATCCAATTCTTTCCGAGGAAAATCAGGTGCAGGAGAACAATTGGACCAACGACTTAACCACACTCAAAATTCTATTTCAGATTAATATTCATTCAATATACATGTAAATATGTACGTAATAGCATCTGAAACACGCTTTCAATTTTGTGAAAGATCGTCGAATCGAACTCGAAGACGAAGAATATAAAAAGAAAATACTTCGACTTCAAGATATTAATCGTGAATATGTTCAACCTGTAAGTATATTGTTGTCTTGTATTTAAGCTTTAAATATCAAGTTCTAATTTAATGATACACAAATAAATAATATAAATATTCCGATTTCTAGAATGGCTTCAATGGAGCGTGGGGTATCGCGTGGAATGAAGATGAGAGAAAGATGGTTGAGGCATGGGATATATCACCACAAATAGTAATAAAAATCTGTTATATGCTATGTTGTATATATCATTATTTTAAGTCTTCACAAATTTTTTCATTTAAGGTTACTTCTACGGCTTTTACTAGGATCAAAACGCCTGCTATTCCACCCACTAACATTAAACCTACAACAACTATTACTTTTACTAGCGCTATCGCTAAGCCTACCCCTTCTGCATATAAACATATGTTGTCTACTATTTCTGACACCTTTCTCCACAAGGATTTTACGACTTTAGATTTGGATCAATTCTCTAGAGACGTATTCGATAATTATAAGAACAAGGTAATATCCGATGTTTTTTATATGTGGTACATAATTTTAGTATTCTCTTATTTTATGTTCTATTTCTTTAGAAAGAAGAGTAAATTGTATAACAGATTATGCTAGAAATCATAAATTATGTATCTGATTAAATAGTATCAGTATTATTTCTATCAATTGTTTTTATAGATCATATAGTGTTTGAAATGAAAATATAGAAAACAGCAAATTAAATTGAAATTCATTTAGTGCAGACAGACAGCATGAAAAGCGGTGCTATTATAATTTGTTCGTTAGATCATGAAACATATGGAACCTATTTTTATCTGAAGTTACAGGGAATTTATTTAAAAGTCTCATTGTTTCTAAAGTTTTTCCTTTGCAGTTTCTTTTAAAAATAATAAATTTTTATTTTCACACTAGTAATATATCTCTAATATGTTAATTTTCTTTTGAATTCTAAAATATTAATTTTTGTTCTTAGATAGCATCAAACATCGGGAAACACCTGATCCCTATTACACAGACAATAAATTTACTCAAATACATTTACCTGACATGACGTTTCCCTGGCAAGAAGTTTCCCTAACATGATGAGATATTGTGACATAATGTATTAATTGGTTGACTTTGCATGTTAACAGGTTATGTCACCAAGTTAGATTATTAGGAAAATGTTATGCCAGTGAAATGTCATGTCGGTGAAATGGGCTGTCGGGGGAAATGTTGTTTCAGAGAAAGGGTAATTCTATCAAATTTCAAATATCCGCTTCTTTGCTGCTGACAGTTTCACCATCATTTAGTCTTAACTGTTGTTATCGTCAACAAAGAGATAAGTATTTTGGTGTAGTCTCTCAACTTACATTTCATCGTGTCAAATATTTTGTCAGTAATACAAAAGTTTTCGTTATAATTGAAGGCAAAAATTATCTTTTTTGTCAAAATCATTTTACAATTAATAATTGTTAATTTGGAGACTTATTTTCAAACAGCAGAGTTGATGCTTAATCCTACATGCAATGATACGAAAAATTAATTTTATAAAATTGATGAATTGATATGTCATCTGCTAGAAAGATTTAAATTATATTTGATTTTAAAATTTTAAGTATTTTGATATAAGTTCATTTTTTACTAACAGCTGATGCAGTTGTTCCAGTTTCTAAAATATTATTTCTAACGACCTTCTCAGTCCTTTTTTTTATCCCGTCTTACCAGTGATGATAAATAAATACTCAAATTATTCCAATTTCAAACGACGACCAATGAATGGACATTTTAAAAGGCCGAATGGCCTATCTGGTCAAGATTAAAACTCTATTGGTTAAAGTATAAATCACACCTAATGACCAAATGACCTAGGTCATTTCTAGGTCATTTGTAAAATGAGCTAATGGCCTGTCATTTACCATCACTGCGCCTTAATGTTAAAGACCTCAAGGTGTCAGGCATCAAATGATTTACAAACAATGTATTATTAATGATGAAATATAACGTTAGGTGCCAGTTGTGTTAACGCGCGTCAATTGTTGTCGTTTTAGCCAGATTACATGCATTTAATGTGGTAACGAATAATTTATATATCAACTGAAAATATAAAAGAAATTCATAATCATTAATATTGTAGATAAGATTGATTTGATGCCATTTTGTAGAATAACGATAACGATAATGCTTAATTTATACTTTTCCATAAAAATGAAAATTATTTAACTTAAATTTTGCCGATTACTTGCCATAATAGTAAATCATTGCAAATTACGTATACTGCTCTTTTTAATTAAGTTTCATTTATAAGCAAACCGCAGTCGTTTCAATTTCTATCCATAACTTCATGATTCAATAAAGGAAACTTCACTTTTTTTGACAATTTTTGAATGATCAATGGCAATTTGCTTATGGATTAGTGAGTTGTATCTTAAGCATGCTTGCAAATTTATTACCACTAATAGCAATTTTATGTTGTTTTTCTTTTGAAACATTGAAATTGGGAGGGGTCTACCAAGACTATTGTACACTTGCAACCAATGGAAATGATTCAATCGCTACAAACCTGACCTGTCATGTTTCAATTAAAGGTAAGATTTTAAAATTGGCAAATTAGCAGATTTTTGGAATATTGTGGATAAAAAATAATAATGACATGTTGAATTCATTTTTTAGTTATCTCAATGATAATAATCTAATATAAGATGAAGTTTTAAAGTTCTATGAATTCTTAATTAGAAGTAAATTTAAAAAAGAAAATCCTAATCGATAACTCTAGATTTTTTTAATTAAAAAGTTATACACTTATTACATCTAATTTATTTTGAGTATAGGTGTCGTGTCATACACCATACGGTTGACAAGAAAGACTTCTGATCGTTAAATCTCTAGCTACGTATGGAGTGTTTGCTATAATGATAACGATATTAACTAATTTTATCGGCAGAGTTATTTGTAACATTGAGGTAAATTCCGTTTTCCAAAATATTTTGCTTTCGATTATTGACAGAAAAGCAAGCTGGAGTTTATGACGAGTGACTGCGATTTATGGGTGCATGTTAAAAAACAGAGTTTTTATATTATATGCGAGCATATTGAAAGTCATTGGTACAAGAATATATAGCAATATTAATTTTTAAAGCAACTTTAATATACATATATTATAGAAATGGACTTCAAAAGACACAATATTAAAAGTAAAACGTAAGTTTTTATGGTTGGTGAATATAAAACTAAGGTATAGAATGTGCGATAAACGAATTGAATCTTCAGATAAATAAAGGTGATTATTATATTGATTATTATATTGTTTCTCTTACCGATAATAACATATATTTAATCTTAATTAGAATTTCATATCTTGAATAAAATAATCTGGATATATTTCTATCAATAATAAGATGAAAGATAAATTAGATTAAGTGTAAATAAAAAATAAATAAACGACTACATACCACCATCATCCAGCAGTGACTTTAATGTGATCTCATATCTCTCGATCAACTTTTTATAATACTTATCGAAAGTATGGGGAAGGAAAAGGTATTCTAGGTGGTGATGACTAGCCTCCAGAAAGCGAATAAATGACTTTCGGATATTTTTAACGGGAATAGTTGAGTTTGATTTCTTGAAAGGTTTAATCTAAGAGATTTAATTGTGGGTCGAAGCTCTCTTGACAGGATATTAAAGAATATATCATCAAAATTTTCGGTACATATGTCTAGATGATAAATATTTGGACATGATTCCAATAAGGTGGACCAACCGATCGCCCGGAGATTGCGGGCATTAAGAACTATTAAAGAAAATATTTTGTCAAAGTTATAAAATTCTTCCAGACGAAGATATTGGAGAGTGTTGTTGCTATTAGCTTTGACAATTTCCTCTAACAGATTAACTGGTGTTTCCTCTGGTTCCTCTGCCCATACAATTGAAAAATATTCCAATTTTTGAAAACATTTAGCCGTTTCGAACCAACATGACTGCTCTAACGCTACGCACTCCAGAAAACTTAAACAGTTCAGATTAACACACGAGCTCAATCCTGGAATTACGCTATCAGTTTTAAAATAATCAAAGTTGACTTCGGTAAATTCAATAGCTCGCAAGTTTTTTGATGAATAACAAAGAGCACCACAAAGAATTTTGATCGTAATGTCCAATAACGATAAGTTTAGTCGGATCCATTGTAGTCCACGTTGTGCTTTCATCATATGTCGCAATGCTTCAGCTGTAGTTTTTTTAGACTTGCAAATAAACTAAAAGCTCCAAATTTGATGCTTTGAATCGAATGGCAAGTACTAGCCAAATGTTCAAAGAACATTTGGTGATTTTTTGATAAACGCAATTCGTAGAACTCTAGTTCCTTGAGATTTCCAAATAAATTTTGAGCTGAAAATTCTTTAAGGTTCAGACTCCAGAATTCATGGTCAGTGTTAATAGCAATAATACGTAAAGCTCGTAAAGAAGCCGATTCGGTTAATAAAAGTCTGTGCAAAGAAATCGATAATGTTTTTCGTTTATTCAACTGTTTTTTTGTCGGATTATACAATTTTGCTTTAACCATGCACCTGCAATATAGTCTACAAGTTTCGGATCATAATAGCGTAAAAATGAAGCGTAATTAAACGTTGGCTGTCGTGTAGTCCGTGGTCGACTAATATTGTTGGAACGTAAATGTTTCCATGTTTCTTTCGAAAAACTTCCAAAATAAACTCTTGCAACACATTCAAATTCTCTTACAACAAATTCATTATTGTATTCAAATCTATATGGAAAAGGTGCTTCCCAAAGAATCGGCACAATTTCTTGACAAAATTGGCGGTTGGCGAACAGAAATTTGAATAATGATCCTCTGTTTAGATTCTTGAAAATTTGCTGACGAATTTCCGTGGGTAATAATTGGAATATCGAACTAATTTCCATTTTCCTAAATCAGAAAAAATACATGTACTGTACATGTAAAAAACTTTCGAGAACGATAACGATAACGATAACGATAACGTACAGTATGTGTATGTGTACAAAAAAGATCTACATGCATATGACTTGATTATTGTTCAGTATCGCTCCGATGCAAGATTGAAAATAAAAATGAGTATGAACCAGTACCAAGATCGCTATGTACATGTACATGTATATAGCGATCTTGGTTCTGTACTATATTACGTATTTCTAATTGGTACCATGTGAATGTAGTACCGAAATGACGTTATTGATCGCGTGAAATATTGTAATACATGTACAAAGACTTTGATCGCGTAAAAAAGTCATGATACAAAGATTTGATCATGAAAATATCATAATACAAAACACGAATTTTCTCATGAGTGTTGTTAAACAAAAAACACGTCTCAAACAAAGCTTCACGGAATTTTAACTTAACAAAGCCAAAAAGAAGTTTCAATATGGATAAAGAATTTGAAATCGATATCAGCGACATTGTTTCCATTACTACGATTAGTGAACATGAATACAAAGAGACTTTTTCTACTCTTGATGAACTAGATGTTGCTGCTACAGTTGATAATAGTACTTCTGTTGAATCAAGTATTGAATCAGATCATAAGATATTATATAACTTGAAGTTTTACATAATGTATTTAACTAATATCATTGATATTTGGACATCCAGTTTTATGTGAACGACCACAAGTTCTTTTTTATTAAATAAATTTTTTATTATTTGTAAATATTTATTAATGTTTTATATTTAGATTGATAATTCATCATCATAACCAGAAAAGTTTATTGGATGTTCCAAATACAAGTACCCTCAGAAACACAGAATTAACAATATTAACATTTCTTTTTTGGAGAAATTACTGCAAGTATATATATATGTACCAGAAAGATAATAAATAATGTTGGTTTTATTAAAATATTTTATTTATAGATTTTAATATTAAATTATAGGATTATAATAAAACAGAAGAATGTTTTTAGTCTTAAATATTTCTTCAAATAAACATTATTGCTATAAGTATTATATAAGATAAGTATGGGTATTATGGTGGGTATGGATTGTGATATTTCGTGATCCAATGATTAGAATCCAGTGAATTTGTCACCATTCAATGCGTCTCAATGAGATGGTTCAAGCGTTGCAAAGATTGCTCGATTCTGATTATTTTATCACAAGATATTTAAATTTAAACTTATTTTAATTTTAAAAATTAATATTCAAATTGTAATGTACTGATAACGATATCTCATGATCTTTGCACTATTCGAACAATCTCATCGAGACAAACCCAATGGTGACAAAGTCATTGATTCTAATCATTGGATTACGAGACATTCATGAATCCGTCACAATATTCACAAGGTTAAAAATAATACTTTTTTTAAATTGACAAAAACATAATGTTTTATTTTAAAATATTTGCTAATTCAAAGTAAATAAAAGGCTTTGTTTACTAAATAAATTTTGTAAACATTTAAATTATTTTCATGAATTTTATTATTAACAATGTTAATTTTAATAATAATTAATGATTACATATAATATTAATATATCAATTTCTGATAATATAAAAAAGTATATGTATAAAATTTCTAAATTGAAATAAAAAATGTAGTTTTAAATAAATTAGAATAATGATAAAATTAAAATAATAAATAAGTTTATTTAAAATATAGTATTATATAATATTGATATTTATTATTAGCTTAAATAAAGATAAAGAGTGAAATTCTTGAATACTTGTTACTATTTCTCTTATCTTTACTGAACTGGCTCAAGAAATTTGAAAATAAATACTATTTATAACAAATATTAAAGAGTTAGCTCATGCTAATTTTAATTAAAAAGATATTTTATTATTATTATTATTAACAGCAATTAAGAATATATTTATTTAATTGGCAAATTAATATTAATTTAATGACTAATTATTAATAATTTATTATTGTATTATAAGAAAAGATGATTATAATGGAGTTTAGCAATAATTTATGAACAATATAATATGGTACAATTATATAGATATATATCACAATGAGTATATATAATACAAAGTGTAAAGAAAGCAAGTATATATTAATTAATATTTTGATTTGATTAGTACTTTAAATAATTTAGTTTATTTAAATAAAATCAAGTTATTTGGTTTCTGAAATTTCTGTGGTTTCATTATTAAAATTATCACAGTATTTGCCATTAAGATCATTATATTTCCATTTTGTTACATTACATTGAAATTTTTACTATTCATTATTATCAAGATCATTTTATTTCTTATTACCATCAGGATTATCATGTTAATATTGCTGTTTTTTGCTGTTAGTCATGTGTTTTGACATCAAAATCATGGAAAAACCACAGATTTTTCATAGTTGAGATATTTGCATTCTTGCAACTTAAGTTAACATATATATTGGTTATTTCAGATAGCGTGACCAGGTTTTATGTACTGTCAGTAATACCAAACAGCAAAAAAGATTACAAAAAAACAAAGAAAATGAAAATATGAATACTGCAATTATTTTGAATGCAATCTCTTCAGCTTCGATTGTTCCATCAACAAATGAACAAGAACAATATATTGCTTGGGAAGAAAAAAGTTGGAATTAGAGCAAAAAAATTGAGCAGTTACAAAAACAACTTGAGCTCAGAAAGCAATTACGTGAATTAGAGTAATAGTATTCGTAATTTAATAAAAATATTATAAAGTACTTACTGTACTTATTCATATCATTATATCCAAATTAGTAATAGTACAGTACTAAAAATTTATATATAGCGATCTTGGGACTGTACTATTCCGTTAAAAAAATAGTACAGAACAGTGCTGAATCACTCTATATTAATTCTGGTACGGTACAGTACCAAAATGCGTGGCGGTACAGTACCGAATCTCAATATACCGAATAAAAATTATTTATACAGCAAATAAAAAATAAAATTTATTTAATATTAAATCTGTCCTCCATTTGACTCCAATACCGCATTAATATTGATGCAGTAAAATGGCCACATCAATTTATTCCTACTCCGCCTTTAATACGATCATAAGTTCATCCACAGTCTTCGGAAAGATCTCATTTTTTGAATATTATCTATTAATATCTTCCAAATGTTCTATATGGGTTCAGGTCTGGAGAATTAGCCGGCCAGTGAATAATCGTGAGTTTATTTTCCGTTAACCATTCCTTAATTTTTCCCGCAGTAGTCGGCTTGTTGAAAGTTGCGTAATTTCCAGTTAACTCCTTAATTGCGTTCTAGAATGGTAATAAATGTTTTAAGATTTCAAGGTAAGTATTTCTAGTTAAATTCATCACAAAAAATTAATGGTCTTTTAATTTTCCTGAGAAACACCTCCATGCCATTACAGGTTTTCGTCTACTTTTAAAGGTAGGCGCCAAGCAATTAACATTAAACTTTTCTCCAGGATGTCGCCAAACTCTTTGCTGCCGTGACTGCTTTCCAACTTCAACACTGGTTTCATCAGAGAAAATTATTTTCGCCCAATCATAAACTGTTTTATTTTTATTTTCTTCACACTATTTAGTACGAGCATGTGGATGTGTTTCCGAGATATAAAGTTTCTTTGGGATACATGAGTTAAGTCCGGAGTCGTGTAATACATTTGCGGCGGTCGATAAACTACAAGTGAGGCCTGAATTGTTGATTTCGCGTAGTAGTGCACGTCTTTTTTCGTTGGTTTCACTATAAGTAAATTCTTTACTTGGTTATTAAGGACTGGTGGTCTTCCTGAACGTGGTAAGTTTTTCACTTTTTCCTGTTCGTTTATATTTGTTAATAGATCGACGTATCGTTGTGGGTCGCGTCCAGCGATTTGAGCTGCATTTGTGGTTTACGTATTATCAAAAAAAAAAAAAGGATAAATCAATTTTTGAAAAATGGTTACACGCATAAATCGGGCGATATTTTTTGGGAGTAGGGACGACTGCTCAAAAGCTCGCTTCATATTTTGGAAATGCTTTTCGCGACACAATTAAAAGCATATTATTAAGGAGCGGTTCAATATATTATAAATTACTATCGAAATACGTATTCGAAATGTTTGCCTTTACATAATTAGGTTTTAAGATCTAACATAAAATGTAAATATTGCTAAGTAAATTGGCAATAGCATGCTATCTACTTATTTTAAATATCTTATCTAAATAATAACAACTTCCATGTAAGAATACAAGTTCGAGAACCGAGTAATTAATATTATACTAAAAATCACCTCTTTATATGAACAACTCTATAAAAGAACTGGGTTTCAGTATTCTTATAAAGAGGTTTGATTGTTTTGTATTATAATTCGGTGCCGTTCTGAAGGATAACCCTGTTTTGTCAGCATTTCAAATTCGATTAGATGTACAGTCTAACCTATGATCACACCTCGACATACAGTAGCTTACTTTTGAAAACGTACACAGAAAAAAAATGGCGAAATTCGAATATCTCGCCATTGAAGAATAATCCACGACTAAAAGCAATTAATTACATTTATTAAAATGCCAAGTATCATTTACAATTGAGTTTATTGTTCGATATGATTATAATAAAAAAAAATAAAAATTTTAAAATATTTTCGCATACGATATATATAATATGACCGATTTAGACGAAAATATTTAAGGACCAATTTCTTGTTAAGAAAATATTAGCAGCTGTCAAAAAAAAAACCTTATACATTACTAAACTAAAATTACTGATTTATACTTCCTCTTTTTGCTTGTATCACTTCCCTAACCTGTTCTGACATGAATTCGATTCGATATCAACACTATTCCATGCAATTTGTCTCTATTGGAAAGTGAATCAGGAAGTCTCCGCATACAAATATCAACTTTATTCCATAAATTCTTGATAGGGCTCAAGTCAGGAGATTGAGATGCCAATCGAGAACTGCAATCTCATTTTCACGAAACCAACCTTTCACTTTTTTGAAAGTGTGTTTCGAATCATTATCTTGCTGGAAAAGAATTTCATCCTTTTCCAGCATAGTCTCCAAAAGCGAACCTAACAAATTTATATTTAATATATCGATGTAGACATCTGCGTCCATCTTGCTGTCAATTTTTCAGAGTTCACCAACTCCATCGGCACTCATGCAACCCCATATCATAATTGAATCATCATCAAACTTCACTGTTGGCATAATATTCTGGTCTTTTAAAGGTTCACCAGGCTTCTTCCAACAATATTCTGTCTGTCTGATCCAAAGATCTGGTACTTGCTTTCATCAGACCAGATTATTCACCACCAATTATCAATTGTCCAATTTCAGCATTTATTTGCCCAGGCAAGTCAGCATTTTCTGTGTGTCTGTGAGCAATGTTTTTTGCATTTTATTCTGGCAAATAATCCATGTTTTCTGAGTATACACCATACGCTCTCCACAGATAAATTGACTCCTATGTCAGTTTGGAGTCTGCGTTGAACTTGGACAGCAGTGGAGCATTTTCCAAATGTTATCAATTGAATAGTATTTCGTTCGTAGCGATCAGAAAAAGTGCACGGATGGCTGGGTTTTGGCTTATCTTCGAAGTTCCCAGTTTCTTCTTTTTTCTTGAATATACATGAAACTGAATCTAAGCTTACTTATTCTGATGCTGCGATTTCTTGCACCATGTATTCTTCTTGGCAGAGTGTGTATATGCAGGAGCATTTTGTAATTAAAAAAAAGTGGTTAATATTGTTATTGGAATGGGAAAAGTGTGTTAATTATGATTAAAACAAAAAAAAGCTGTTTATATTGAGCTTGTAAGGTCTTATGTTCGTTAATGGATTCGGTCATATTATATTGTACGCAAAAATAATTAAAAATTTTTATTTTTTTTTTATTATAATCATATCGAACAATAAACTCAATTGTAAATGATACTTGGCATTTTAATAAATGTAATTAAATTGCAATGGCGAGATATTCGAATTTCGCCATTTTTTTTTTCTGTGTACGTTTTTAAAAGTGAGCCACTGTATGAAAAACTGGGATTAGAAAGAGGTTGTGACTATATGGAGGTCAAATTTCTTATAAAAATTCTTGTAGCTTTTAACAGTTTTTAGGATTGCGAGTGTTACTATTACTAATATTATTAATAATTTTCACTATCACAGGAAGTGTGCCGATTGAAGCTTAATACAAACCGCTACTTTCTCGAGTCTAGCTCTGACGATACAGAATTTCGTGTTTTTGAATCTTCCGCCGTCGCATGATGTTGCTTCTAACAATCCGCCGCCTCGAATAACATGTGAAAATGTGTCAATACAAGAGTGTCGGATAATAATAACATTTTCAAACTACAATACATTTCGATAACTGAACAATTGAAAAAGGGTGGAGGTGTCTTTTTTCGTTGTATCTAGTGAAGTACGTATTTGCTTTAGAGATATTTATTGAATTTATATTTCATACAATGCATTGAAGATAAGTTTGATCCAGGAATTTCAGTTGAAGCACAACTTAATTAACTTTATCATTATGCTTTTAACACGTTTTTTAATCCCCAGCTATTGTTGCGCTTTCGTTAGGTTGGGGGAATTTGAGGGATTTCTAACGCAACAAGTCTTTGGGAGAGATTATTAAATTGTTTGATGTTTGTTCGATATCTAGAGCCTGTGCCGATATCTACAGATATCGTTGACTACGTTGATTTTTGGGGGAAAGAGAGATTTTATGTGGTTCAGGTGAGTGTTCGGGGGTTCTTTTATTGTTGCTTTTTATAGGGAAAAGCCTTAAACTCTTAAAAATAATGACGATAATAATGAATACACGAAAACGGTTTTTCATTAACAATGCGATTCTACGCGAAACAATGCCTTTTCTGGTACAAAGGACCTAACCAACAATCGATATAACGATTAATACGGGAGAAATGGGGGGAAGATTTTACAAGCAATAATTCGCTTTTAAGAATAGTTGTACGCAAAGATTCAAGCTGTCTTTTGCTTGGAGAAGAATTGTACGCAATTTTATTTCTGTTCTTTACTAGTAGCCCGTGGGCCATTCTTTTATACATTTTTGTGTGTTATTATTTTTATACTACCAAAGAAGGCATATCGTTTTACTAAAATAAAATAAAAAAAAGTTTATAACGGACGCTCTATTATCCACAAACTGATGGAACCGCGCTGAAGATTGTTGAGAAGATGCTGAAAACGATGAGGAGATGCTGAAAATAATGATGAGACGCTGAAAAACAATGATGAAACGCTGAAAAATAAGATGCTGAAAAATAATAAGGAGACGCTGAAAAATAATGAGGAGATGATAAAAAAAAGAGAACGCGAGGAGTGGCGCAATTCCGTGTCGTATATTAAAAAGGGAACTTGTTTTTATTAGCATGTCGTCATGCTGAAAAATCACAAACCGCATTAGTTGACATTCGTGACTAAATCTGCTGTTTTGCTGAATAATCTACAGCAGTATATGTTGATAATGCGGTATTGTGGACGATCGTGATGGAAACTCGTCGTAGTACAGAGGGTCACCAAAAGTCTCCGAACACTTTTTGGGTTAAATATAAAACTCAAAAATGTAAAGTTAAAACTGAAAAAACTTAATAATATTTTTATTTAAATAAGATCTGATCTACATTTTGTACTAAGTAACTAGTACTTAGTCGGGCCTCCTTTTGCTTCAATTACAGCCCGAATTCGCTGCGGCATACTATTGACCAAATTTTCGATGGTATCTATAGAAACATCTCGCCATGCTTTCTTAACGCATCGTTCAAGTTCAGCAAGGTTAGAAGGTGGTTTTTTTCTTTTACGAATACTTTTCTTGATATCGGCCCACAGATTCTCAATTGAATTGAGATCTGGACTTTGAGCAGGCCAAGAAAGTATGCGCAAATCATTTTCCGTGTGAAATTTCTTTGCAACTTTCGATTTGTGAGGGTGAGCATTATCCTCCTGGAACAAACCATCACCATTTGGAAATACATGTCTCATAGTTGGCATAACATGCTTGCGAAGGATGGTGACGTGCGTAGCACCAGTTGCTGTTCCAGATAATGGGACAATAGGTCCTAAGCCTTATCTTGAAAAGCATCCCCAAAACATTCGTCCAGGGCTATGTTTCATGGTGGCAGTAACACAAGAAAGGTTCCACTCATCCTGTGGTTCCCGCCACACTCTACTATACCTACTTTGTTGGAATTGGGAAAAGGTCGATTCGTCACTCCACATGACTTTTGCCCAATCATATTTTGTCCAACTTTGATATTCTAAAGCCCATGCAAGATGCACCTCCATATTTGTTGATGAGATTAAAGGCTTGCGTCGAGCAATATAATTTCTTAACCCAACTTTATGAAGTGTCCAGACAATTGTGTTATCTGAAACATTTTGATTGATCTTCTACTTTCAAAGTTGTTGAACTTCAGCAGTACATAAGTGACGATTCTTTCTCTTACCATTAGTTACAAGTCGCTTAAGCCAGTTTCGTTGTGAAGGTTCAATAAGAGGCGGATGACCGGAACGAGGCCTCGAATTAGTGGTTCCGGTTTCATTTATTTTTTTTAATGTGTCAAATACTGTTGACACTCCACACCCGACAGTCATGGCAATAGTTCTATATAACTGTCACCACGTTGACGGCAATAAAATATAGTGCCAAGTTGTTCTTTTGTTAATTCTTTAGTCATTTTCATTGATTTCGGAGGATGAAATTTATTTTGAGTTAGAGTCAAAATAAACAAACCAAACATGCATTTATTAAGTTTGATTTATGTAAACAAACTCTGGAACCTCATGTGACCGTGATATTATTAACTCACATGACGTTACCAGCATGAAATCGCACTTAAAAAGTGGTGTTCAGAGACTTTTGATGACCCTCTGTACTAGGAAACGGAAACTGTTTTACTTTTAATAAACAAAAAATGCAATTGTTTTAATTCATGCGTGCGGACAAACGGAAATCGCTACATGATCACAATTTTCATAGTAAATCGTAAAAATAGAATGTTCTTCGCTACGCGCCGGAAATTACAATGTAATAAGAGACTTCGCACTTAGATTTTTTAATGAAAATTATCCAGATAATATAAAAATATATATACACATCCCTACAATAAATTATTTCTTGATAATAATAATTCTATTTTTATCATTTTTATTTCAGTATAAAAACAATAAATAACTATAATTTTATAATAAAAAATTATTACAATCACTTTGTAAACAGAAATATCCTTCAAACCAAGTCTAAAAAACTATATAATTTGAATTTATAAAATGAATTTACTTAAAACTATAAATCATTAAATTTCTATTAATGATTCATGAATGATTATCAAAATACTTAAATTTGTCATTCCTAATATGGTGCGCCCAGTCTAAAGACATCCAATACTTTGAACTGTAAAGGGATTTTATTTTAAATATATAATCATTGAAACAAATACATTATCAAATAGCCTTTGATACAAATCTATTATAAAAATTATTTGTAGGTTTTTTTAACATCGATTTTAATAATAATAGTGAGCTTTTCAGCACCTGAAATATCACATGTTTTATTTTTGATTGGCTCGATTTCATCATGTAAAATTACATGATCCTTTTTATGTAAAATTCTAATTACGTACATAGCATTTAAAGCTCTGTTCGGGTCGGGTCGGATTCGGATCGGGTTTGATCCGAAAATCGTAAAATAGTTTTTAGTTAATAACT